CATATACATCTTGTACAAAACCAACATATTTATCGCGTTAATAAACCCTGAGAAAGCAACATGTTCATCTGGTAACAAAACATGTTCATAGATAACCACGAGTTTATATGTTTGGATCTGTCATGTTCATGTCCGGAGGATTGTATCCAGCGCATCTAGGATCATGCTGAAAATTTTAGTTAGGATGAAAAGGATGCACAAGCCGTCCAACAAACTCAGGATTTATAGAATAGACCCGATTAAACATGGTCTTCCTATATCCCGTGCAAAATCTACCCAAACATATTAGCATAAAGTAGAGTGGAAAACAAATCATATTATTACAATAAAAAAAAAGTTAAGCTTAAAATCAATCTCTACTCACTTGACACTATGCTGATCCTAACTATTAAACTTTTGCAGCTGATGGACATAAGCACATTCATTTGTGTGACTTAAAAAATCAATCTTACTCACTTGATCTTCATATTAAAAAGTATAAAGATCTACTTTTCTATAGGCAGACTATACAGACACAAATGTTTTAGCAATAGGTGCTCAACAAAGACCAGCTCAACAGCAAAATTACACATAAAGATTGTTTGCCCACCCATAGACAAGAACATATGAATCGGACTAGAAGACGTTACCAGGTATATCTGCAACCCATAGCATTTATCAATGCTAACCGGAAATGGTCACCTTATTAATTGAAGTCTAAAGGAATGACATTCTCCCTCAAAGAAGATAATGGAAAATCACAAAACAATACAGACAAAACACAACTAGAATAAACTAGGGGATTTCATAAGTCCTCCTAGAAAAAGAAAAAAAAACACACATCTGTCACAGTATCAAGCAGTCCCGGATTACTTCACACTCGCGAAAGTGAAACACACTTTTGTTTATTTCTTTCTCTTGTATATCTTGGCTAGGAAGGACTTCAGCACGGCCTGCACGGGTTTTCTTGGAATAGCCTTGATGGAGCTCATGAGTCTGTCATAGCTCTTAGCTTCGTACTCGAAAAATATGCCCTGTAGATTAAGCTCATGGTAGAGGGCTTTGATTTTCGAAACATCTGCTGGATTATCCTTTCCGTAGTGCTCCTGGTTTAAAGGAAAACATGTCCAAAATGTTCACACACAGACACACATGAACTAATAGCAATAACGAAAAATTGAGGAAAGCACAATCAGTGCAGAGGCTTCTTAGTTCTTACATACTGAATTTTTTTTTGTTCTTCATTACAGAGCTCCAGGGCTTCCACAACCAGCGAAGAGCACTTGAAGTCCTCAATATTTGTTCCAATCTGATGATTCACAAAACAAATTCAGAAAACATGCCAGTCAAATAAAGAATAGTTTTATACATTTGTAAGCCCGAGGGAGAGCTCAACAACTCACCTTACCGATCTTTTCAGGTTCACCAAAGCAGTCCAAGTAGTCATCCTAAACAGATAAATCAAGTACCAGGAAAGGGAATTAACACACACACACACACACACACACACACACATTGGGATTACATTGCCCGTTCAACCGGGGCTCTGCAAAATGCCCGTTCAGACTGCCGTGGCGTCTTACACCTCATCGTATCCATGTCCCCCATTCCCAATTTTCGATCTCACTGACCATTTTCGACCCTCCGCCAACCCCACAAGTGACACCTCACTCCTGAACCTAACCACCTCACCTAGCCTAAACTCGTCGGCAAAATCTCTCAAATACTCAAAAACCTAACCGTGACCTGGAAACCTCCTCGGAT